TTTTTTTACTACCAGTTCAGGCGAATAGGTAGTAAAAAATGCTTTTAAAAAGTTTTTTAAAAAAGGCTATTCGCCCGAACCGGTAATAAAAAATGCTTTAAAAAAGTTTTTTAAAGGGTTCCCACGATCGCGCACCACAGCTGATCACCCTCCACCGCGCTGTTCTACTTACCTTCCCAAGCCTCCTTTCGGCATGCATTGCGCGTGTGCGCACGCAACTCGTGTTTGGCGCTCACTGGGCATGCACACGCACAGCACACGTTTTAAACCAGTTCAGATTTCACCACTGCCCTGTTTCCCCGAAAATAAGACCTGCCCGGATAATAAGCCCAATCGGGCTTTTGAGAGCATTTGCTAAAATAAGCCCCCCCAAAAAATAAGCCCTCCCTGAAAATATTTAAACACATGCGCAGCCGGTCTCCGCCATTTCCTCTGGTTAGAGTTAGGGAGACAGAGCTGGAAATCAGGGAAGACGGCAAGAGGAGCCCCGTCTCGCTCCATGCGCCCCAAAATAATAAGACCTCCCCGAAAATAAGGCCGAGCGCTTATTTCAGGATTCAAAAAAATATAAGACAGGGTCTTATTTTCCAGGGAAACACGGTATGTACAGGTAGTCCTCGATTTACAACAGCCCGTTTAGTGACCCTTCAAAGTTATGTCACTGAAAAAGTGACTTACGACCATTTTTCACACTTATGACCGTTTCAGCATCTCCATGGTCACGTGATTTACATTCGGATACTTGACAGCTGACTCGCATTTATGACGGTTGCAGTGTCCCAGGGTCACGTGATCGCCTTTTGCGACCTTCTGACAAGCAAAGTCAGTTTGGGCTCAGTTGTGGTCTTAAGTTGAGGACTGCCTGTCTTATAGTTAGCCCTCTCCTTACGACCGATCGCTTAGCAACTGTTTGAAGTTGCAATAGACGCCCCCCCCCAAAAATGTAGAGGTGTTCCTTGGCTTAACAATCATTCGTTCTGTGACCGTTCAAAGATACAACGGCAGTGAAAAAAAGTGAATTGTGACCGTTTTTCACACTTAACGACCATTGCAGCATCCCCGTGGTCATGTGATCAAAATTCAGTGAAGTTTGTCAACCGACTCATATTTACGACAGTTGCAGGGTCCCAGAATCACATGAGCCCCTTTTGTGTCCTAATGAGCAACCTCAAGGGGAAGCCAGATTCACTTAACAACCGGTTACTAACTTAACAATTGAAGTGTTTCACTTAACAACCATTTGCAAGCAAGGTCGTAAAACGGGGCAAAGCTCTCTTAACAGCTGTCTCGCTTAGCGAAAGAAGTTTTGGGCTCCTTTGTGGTCGTAAGTGGAGAACTGCCTGCAATCCATCCGTTCCGTCTCTCTAAAGCCCTGTCTCTTCTCTTTTGCTCCGCAGGACACCCGTCTCACCTACCGGCCTCCGTAGTCGCCAGTGCGGAGAGGGAGAGGGAGAGGGAGAAAGAACGAGAGCGTGAACGAGAACGAGAGCGGGAGAGAATCTCGTCCACTCCCACGGATCTCTACCTTCGCCCAGGTGAGTTCCGGTTGCCTCTTCGTGCTCCCATCACCTCCTTTAGGGTAGAATAGACATTCTTTTATTGGCCCAGTGTGACACAAGTGTCTCCGGTGCAGAAGCTCTCACTGTGCGTACAAGCAACAAGCGATAAACCACGATCGTAATCATAAAATTGAATCATCATAAATCAGAATTAGGACTCTTTATTGGCCAAGTGTGATTGGACACACAAGGAATTTGTCTCCGGTGCATAAGCTCTTGTCCTAATTAAATCAAGCCAAGCTTCAAAAGAAATCCAGTTAATTATTATTAGAAGCCTCATCTCGGCATGATCCAAGTGAAGCCAACTCTGACCTCACTTAATTCTCGCCCCGGTCTACCCTTGTTTTCCGTCTGGTGACTCAGTTTCCCCACATTTTCCCAAGGCAACGAGCCGTCAGGGAAAGGAGGCAGCCACGGCTACGTCCGCTCCCCGTCGCCCTCCGTCCGGAGCCAGAATCCATCCTCCAGCAACGGCCCAGCATCTTTCAGGGCTCCAACGGGACCAGCGTCATCAGCCCGCTGGATCCGTCCGCCCAGCTGCGCATCATGTACGTCTCCTTTTGCGTTCTCGGCTTTCCGCCTGGGTCGCGGCTGGTTTTCCTCGCCAGCGGAAGCGTCTCTAAAATCTGATGGGGCTGGGAACGGGGGTGGGGTGAGATTGGGGAAGGGCTGCAGGTCGTTCCTCGACCTACGACGCTAATGGAGCCTGACCGTTTAGAGTCGAATGTCGCCACGGTCCTAAATTAGGAGGGTCACCTGATCTTTTTCCAGCGGTCGTACAGTGGATGCTGTGGTTGTTAAGCAAAGCCATGGTGTGCTATGGGGACGTTTGGTAACTTCCAGTTTTCTGCAGAACTGCTCCCTTCCTCCTTTTTTTCCCCTTCCTTTTTGTTTTCCATCGTTCCTCCCTCCCTCCCTCCCTCCCTCTCCCTATTCCTTTTCCTCATTCTCTCTTTTTCCTTTTCTCCCTTCCTTTCTTTCTTCCTCCCCCTTTCTCTTACTCTCCTTCCTTCCCTTCCTCCGACCTTCCTTCCTCCCTCCCTCTTTTTCTCCTTCTTTCCTTCCTTTCCTCCCTCCCTTTTTTCTCCTTCCTTTTTGTTTTCCATCCTTCCCTCCCTCCCTTTCCTTCCTTTCCTATTCCTTTTCCTTCTTCTCTCTTTTTCTTTTTTTCTTCCTTCCTTTCTTTCTTTCTCCCTCCCTCCCTTTTTCCTTTCTCTTCCATTTCCTTCCTTTCTTCCTCCCTCTTTTTCTCCTTCCTTCCTTCCCTCCCTTTCACTTATTCTCCTTCCTTCCTTCCCTTCCTCTGCTCTTCCTTCCTCCTTCTCTCCCTCCCATTTTTCTCCTTCCTTTGTTCCCTCCCTCTTTTTCTCCTTCCTTCCTTCCTTTCTTCTCTACTTCCCTCCCTCCCTCCCTCTCTCAGCAACTCATAACTCCGGTGTCAGCGTTCCAAATTATGCTCTTCTCTTGTAAAGCCAAGGACCCCTGTAGTTCCCTCTTAGACTTAGACTCAAAGGCCCTCACCTGGGGCCTTTTCCCCAGAAGGGACCTGATGGATGTCTCATCGGAGCTGCTCAAGCCCCCCACCCCCGGCCTCTGCCCCAACCTCCTCCTTCGCGGTTGCAGAAACACCAAACACCTCGGACTATATATATAATCCTGGAAAACGTTGTGCTCTCCTCCCTGCTCTCTCTCTCTCTCTCTTTTTTTTCTCCCCTCTCTCAATCCTCCTTTCTTTCACCCAACAGGCAGCTGCCCCCCGGCGCTCCCTCCATCACCCAAGGCCTGCCATCCTCCCGCTACAGCACCGCCGCCGACGCATTGGCCGCTCTGGTGGACGCAGCCGCCTCCGCCCCGCAGATGGAAGTGGCCAAGTCCAAGGAGGGAAAGCACGACGGCGGCGGCCGGATAGAGGAGAACCCGGGGCGCAGGTCCTCGGTGGTCAGCGAACAGCCGCCGCCACCTCCGCCACCGATGGAGCAGAAGGCGCTGGACGGGGAGAAGAGGGGAGCTTCGGGTCCTTACGTCTCCTCGGCTTCGGCGACTTTCTCCGCCAGCAAATCCCAGAACCTGCCGTCTTCGGCCATCTACTCCGAGGCCGGGAAAGACAAAGGGCCCCCCTCCATCTCGAAGTACGAGGAGGAACTCCGCACGCGGGGCAAGACCACCATCACCGCCGCCAATTTTATCGACGTGATCATCACACGGCAGATCGCCTCCGACAAGGACGCCCGCGATCGCGGCTCGCAGAGCTCGGATTCGTCCGGCAGCCGTAAGTCGCTTTCCCTCATCTGGCTGCGTGGGTTTTTTGTCTTTTTTTTTTTTCTACTTGGGTGGTCAGAGGGACAATTAGGGGATGGAGTACAGGGAGTCCTCGACTTACGACGGTTCATTTAGTGACTGAAGTTAGAACAGCCCTGAAAAAAAGTGAATTAGGACCGTTTTCCACACTTACGACCGCTGCAGCATCAGTCACGTGATCAAAAGTTCAGACGCTGGAGAACTGACTCATCTTTATGACGGTCGCAGTGTCCCAGGGTCACGTGATCCCTTTTTTGTGAACTAGCAATTCTGGGAGTTGAAGTCTTAAATCAGCCAGGCTGGGGAATTGTGGGAGTTGAAGTCCACCCATCTTAAAGCAGATTGGCTAAGAATTCTGGGAGTCGAAACCTGTACTGGTTAAAATTCCTAAAGTTTGAGAAACCAGATTCCTACAGTTGAAACCTACCAGGTTAGGAAAAGGACGGGGTCTATTCCGGAATAAGATTGTCAACAGCAGTGGGTTTCACAAATTCTTACCACAGGTTCACCCTCCGTGTACATACTCGCTTTGGGCGTGCGCCTTTCGCACATGTGGCCAGCCTTCCACGCATGTGCTTTTCTCGTATGCGTACCTTTCATGTATGCGCCCGGCCTCGAAAACAGAGGTGGTTTCAGCAGGTTCTGACCAATTCTGGAGAACCGGTAGCGGAAATTTTGAGTAGTTCGGAGAACCCGTAGTAAAAATTCTACTCCATCTACTCTCTGCCTCCCAAGTCCCAGCTGATCAATAGGAAATGGAGATTTTGCAGTATCCTTCCCCTGGAGTGGGGTGGGAATGGAGATTTTACAGTATCCTTCCCTGGAGCAGGGTGAAAATGGAGATTTTATAGTGTCCTTCCCCTGGAATAGGGTGAAAATGGAGATTTTATAGTATCCTTCCCCTGGAATAGGGTGGGAATGGGGATTTTACAGTATCCTTCCCCTGGAGTGGGGTGGGAATGGGGATTTTACAGTAACCTTCCCCCTGGAGTGGGATGGGAATGGAGATTTTACAGTATCCTTCCGCCTGGAGTGGGGACGGAATGGAGATTTTACAGTATCCTTCCCCTGGAGTAGAGTGGGAATGGAGATTTTACAGTATCCTTCCTCTGCCAAGCCCACCAATTTACGCCCACCAAGCCATGCCACGCCCACAGAACCGGTAGTAAAAAATTTTGTGGTTAAATAGGACAGCATTACGCCGGGGCATGGGCCCACCTGCAATCGCCGCTACCAGTTTGTTCGAACTGGTACGAACTGACTGAATGCCGCCTCTGATTGTCAAATCGTACAGAGTTTCCTGGACTGAGAAGCAGCATAAACCCCCTTCTAATCTCCCTCGTCTTTCCTTCCTCTTCCTCCTCCCCAGTATCCTCGTCTTCGCACCGCTACGAGCCTTCGAGAGACGCCATTGAGGTGATCAGCCCCGCCAACTCCCCAGTCCCCGCTCAGGAGAAGATGTCCCCTTACCAGCAGGAGCCCCCCAAAATGAACCCAGGAGAAAGTAAGTTTTCCCAGGAGGGAGAATTCGGCTTCTGTTTTTCTTTCCCCACTTGCAAAATTGGGCTGCTCAGATTTATAACCTAGAAATCCCAGGGCTGTAGGGGGGACCTCAGGGGTCCTCTAGTCCAGCCCTCTGCTCAAGACAGGAAATTTTGATACCATCCCAGACAAATTTATTTATTTATTTATTTATTTTATCATATTTGTATACCGCCCTACTCCCGAAGGACTCAGGGCGGTGAACAGCCAAAATAAAATACAAAGACATACAAAAGTTTAAAAAACTATTAAAAACAGATTAAATAATTTAGGCTCAAAGAACAAATTAAGACATCCAATTTATCTAAAAAACATTTAAAACCCAATTTAAAAGCCAATTTAAAAGGGAGAGTTAGGCCAGACCAGCCTGTTGGAATAAAAACGTTTTTAGGGCGATGCGTAAGATGCGTAAGAAATGAATTTCTCTTAAGATTTGAGACCAAGCTACAGTAGTGGCCAAAATTGTGGAAACCTTTTTGGGAAAAGTGCATTGTCTAAAACTAGCTAATAACACCCCTATTTTTGGAGTAGTACCATAAAGTTATGTATCAATGGAAAGATAATTTAACCAAGAATGTAATGCAATAACTTTTATGAAGGATTTACTATGAAAATAGCAGTTACAGTAGAAAGAGGAAAAGTGAAACACGTCGAAAAACGAGATATACAAAAATGATCCCCATAGAAAAAACGAGATATACAGAAATGATCCCCATGTCAGTTAATCCTTAGTTGGGTAACCTTTAGCATGAATGACGGCCTTACATGGAGGGAACCAAGTCTGTTAGTTCTGCAGCTGTTATAGAGTGAAACTAAGATTGAATGATGGCTTCTGTTAACTGGGTTTTATTGCTGGGTTGCTTCTGACTAACAAGTTTCTTTAGTCGGCTCCATAGATTTTCCATTGGGTTAAGATCTGGGCTATTCCCAGGCCATTCCAGCAGTGAAATAGGATTCTCTTGAAACTCCAAAAAAACAAAAAAGTGGTGTTATTAGCCATCAAACCTCTAATATACACTTTCCCCAAAAGGTTCATTATTAGTTGAATCATTAAAAATATTATAGTATAAATAGCTTTTCTTCCCAGAAAAGCAATTGACTATTAAGAGCCTTGGTAGTACAGGGGTTTAAGGCACCCTGTTATTAAGCTGGTTATTAAGACCAGCTGCCTGCAATTTCTGCTGGTTCGAATCTCTCCAAGGCTCAAGGTTGACTCAGCCTTCCATCCTTTCTAAGGTAGGTGAAATGAGGACCCAGTTTGTGGGGGCAGTAAGCTGACTTTGTATAAATATACAAAAGGATGAAGGCTATTGCTGAGCACATTGTAAGCCGCCCTGAGTCTTCGGAGAAGGGCGGCATATAAATCAAATAAAAAAAAAAAATTAAACAATGGGGTATAAATTTAGAAATGAAAAGTTTAGTGGAGTATGAAGAATAAGAAATACATGTTTGCCCGTAATATCTGGTAGAAGAGATAGGAAAAGGGTTACAGTAAAGAACTGTGGAAGGGAAGAAGAGAAGGGGGGGGAAATGCATCTTGTGCCTGTGTCAAGTGCCCACTGTGGCCACGCCTACCCTGGCCACCCCCAACTCCCCCCCCACCCCAGCCCTCCGAGGTCAAACACAATCCTGATACGGCCCTCAATGAAATCGGGTTTGACACTCCTGACTAGGTGGCTCAGTGGCTAAGACGCTGAGCTTGTCGATCTGAAAGGTCGGCGGTTCGAATCCCTAGTACAGGTCTCCTTCGTGAGCAGGGGGTTGGGCTGGATGACCTCCAAGGTCCCTTCCAACTATGTTTCTGTTAACTCCTGGTTTAACAAATCTCTCTCCCCTTCCCTTTGGGCCACGCAGGAGACTGCGGCCGCCAGTACGAGGGGTCCAGCCATCCTTACAGACCCGCGCAGGATTCGCCCTCGCCACAGCAACTGCCGTCCCAGCAGCAGCCCCAGGCACCCCCAGCACCACAGACGGCCCCTCCACCCGTCCAGACTCACCGCGTGATCACCTTGGCCGATCACATCTGTGTAAGTTTGCACTTTGGAGCGTCCATTTTTGAGGGGTAGGTAAAGAGATAGATAGATATAGAAATAGATAGATAGATAGATAGATAGATAGATAGATAGATAGATAGATAGATAGATAGATAGATAGATAGATAGATGTAGGTAGGTAGGTAGGTAGGTAGGTAGGTAGGTAGGTAGGTAGGTAGGTAGGTAGGTAGGTAGGTAGGTAGGTGGATGGATGGATGGATAGAAATAGATAGAAAGAAAGAAATGGATGGATGGATAGAGATAGATAGATAGATAGATAGATAGATAGATAGATAGATAGATAGATAGATAGATAGATAGATAGATGATAGATAGGATAGATAGATAGATAGATAGATAGATAGATAGATAGATAGATAGATAGATAGATAGATAGATAGATAGATAGATAGATAGATAGAGAAACAGACAGACAATAGATGGATGGATCGATGGATGAATGGACGGACGGACGGACAGATGAAGATAGGTAGGTAGGTAGACACACACATGGATGGATGGATAGATAGATAGATATAGGTAGATGGATGGATAGAGATAGATAGATAGATAGATAGATAGATAGATAGATAGATAGATAGATAGATAGATAGATAGATAGATAGATAGATAGATAAGCAATAGAAGGGAATATTTGCTGCTCAGGGTTGAACTGTGGCATTCCTATTGCTCTGTGGTTTCCTTGCAGACGTTTCAGGACCCAACTAGGCAACACCATCAGTGCTAGAAGGGAGGTGGCGTTGCTCACCCCTTATAAACAGGTGGCTTCCCCTGTCAGTGTCAGTGGGATGGGTGTGGTTTTCTCCTTGGTGGTTCCTTAGTGAGGATTACTGTTCATGTCCCAGGTTGAGCAGTAAACAGAGACCAAATCCCCCTCCCTCCCAGCACTGATGATGTTCCCTAGCCCGGTCACGAAACGCCTGCAAGGAAGCCGCCAAGCTCAGACCCTGAGCTACGAATCTTCCCTCTTGTTTGAGAGCTAAAATAATAATTAAAAAAATTCCTCTTGTGCGTTTCCTGCTTTGCCTCTCGATTCTTGCTGGAGCTTTGAAAAGGAAAGCAGGCTAACAGGTGATATTTCTCTCCCCATCTCTTTTTATTGGGATCTGCTCCTTCCTGGCCCAGCAAATCATCACGCAGGATTTTGCCCGCAGCCAGGCGTCCAACCAGCCTTCCCTTCCGACTCCCACCAGCACATTCCAGACCTCGGCTCTGACCTCCGTCACCACGACAAACCGGGCCAAGGCTTCGAACCGCTACAGCCCTGACATCCAGGTGCAAGCCGCCCCCCACCAGCGCCCGGGGTCCCGGATGTCCCCCGAAAACCTCTCTGAGAAAAGCAGGGGCAGGTAACCTTCTCCTTCCCTTCCCTTCTCTTCTCTCGTCTTTCGGTTCCTGGTTCTCTTCTTCCGTTCCTTTCCTCCTTTCTCTCCTTCTTTTGTTCTTTCTCTCAATGTTGTGTTTCCTATTCTCTTCTTTCTTTCTTTTTTTCCTTCCTTCCTTCCTTCCTTTCACCCTCTGACGTGTCTCTCTTTCCTCTCTCCCTCCCTCTTGTCTCTTCTTTTTAATGTCCTGTCATCTTTCTGGTTGTGATTCCTTCCTTCCTTCCTTCTCCCTCCCTCCCTCCTTCCTTGTTATTTTCATTCTTCCCCCTTCCCTCCCTCTATTCCTTCCTTCTTCCCTTCCTTCCTATTTTCCTTCCTTCTTTATTTTCCTACCCTTCCTCCCTCCCTCCCTTTTTCTCCTCCCTTCCTTCCTCCCTCCATCCCTCTTTTTCTCCTTCCTTCCTTCTTTCCTCCCTCCCCTTTTTCCTCCCTTCCTTCCTGTTTCCCTTTCTACTTTTTTATTTTCCTACCTTCCTTCTCTCCCTCCCTCCCTTCTTCATTCCTTCCTTCCTCATTATTTTCATTCTTCCCCCTTCCCTCCCTCTATTCCTTCCTTCTTCCTTCTTATTTTCCTTCCTATCTTATTTTCCTTCCTTCTTTATTTCCCTACCCTTCCTCCCTCCCTCCCTTTTTCTCCTTCCTTCCTTCTTTCCTCCGTCCCTTTTTTCCTCCTTCCTTCCTGTTTCCCTTTCTACTTTTTTATTTTCCTTCCTTCCTCCCTCCATCCCTCTTTTTCTCCTTCCTTCCTTCTTTCCTCCCTCCCCTTTTTCCTCCCTTCCTTCCTGTTTCCCTTTCTACTTTTTTATTTTCCTACCTTCCTTCTCTCCCTCCCTCCCTTCTTCATTCCTTCCTTCCTCGTTATTTTCATTCTTCCCCCTTCCCTCCCTCTATTCCTTCCTTCTTCCTTCTTATTTTCCTTCCTGTCTTATTTTCCTTCCTTCTTTATTTCCCTACCCTTCCTCCCTCCCTCCCTTTTTCTCCTTCCTTCCTTCTTTCCTCCCTCCCCTTTTTCCTCCCTTCCTTCCTGTTTCCCTTTCTACTTTTTTATTTTCCTTCCTTCCTTCCCTCCCTCCCTTCTTCATTCCTTCCTTCCTCGTTATTTTCATTCTTCCCCCTTCCCTCCCTCTATTCCTTCCTTCTTCCTTCCTTCCTATTTTCCTTCCTATCTTCTTATTTTCCTTCCTTCTTTATTTCCCTACCCTTCCTCCCTCCCTCCCTTTTATTCCTTCTTTCCTCCGTCCCTTTTTTCCTCCTTCCTTCCTGTTTCCCTTTCTACTTTTTTATTTTCCTTCCTTCCTTCCTCTCTCCCTCCCTCCCTCTTTTTCTCCTTCCTTCCTTCTTTCCTCCCTCTCCTTTTTCCTCCCTTCCTTCCTGTTTCCCTTTCTACTTTTTTATTTTCCTTCCTTCCTTCCCTCCCTCCCTCCCTTCTTCATTCCTTCCTTCCTCGTTATTTCCATTCTTCCCCCTTTCCTCCCTCTATTCCTTCCTTCTCCCTTCCTATTTTCCTTCCTATCTTCTTATTTTCCTTCCTTCTTTATTTCCCTACCCTTCCTCCCTCCCTCCCTTTTTCTTCCTTCCTTCCTCCCTCCATCCCTCTTTTTCTCCTTCCTTCCTTTTTTCCTCCGTCCCTTTTCTCCTCCCTTCCTTCCTGTTTCCCTTTCTACTTTTTTATTTTCCTTCCTCCCTCCTTCCATCCTTCCCTCTTTAGAATTTAGGGCAGGGCTGTCACGATGGGGTGATCCCTGTGGGTGCTGTGGGTCAGATCATCCGGCCCCTGATGTGATCGGATCCAACCCACGGGGCCGTCATGGGAAATGTAATGGGGCCGGCCCGATGTGTGGCTTCCGCCCGATCGGCCCAGTGGGAAGATGAAACATGGCAGCAATTTGGGGGATGGCGTCAAGCTGGCCTCACCTACCCAGTTGGCCACACACCCCCAGTCCTCCCCCCTCTCCAAGATCAACCGCGCCCCTGATGCGGCCCTCAATGAAATGGACTTTGGTGCCCCTGATTTAGGGCCCCACCTTCCTCCTGACCCTCTGTCTGCCCACCTTCTTGTGGCCTTTTCCCCCTCAAAGTCGCCCTTCCACTTCTCCATTTAAAGACCCTTTTAGAGTCGGATTAGAGACCACCTACCTTACCATTAAAAGGGGCGCGGTGGCTCAGTGGCTAAGACGCTGAGCTTGTCGATTGAATCGGCGGTTCGAATCCCAAGTGCCACGTAACGGGGTGAGCTCCCGTGACTTGTCCCGGCTTCTGCCAACCTAGCAGTTCGAAAGCAGGTAAAAAAACGCAAGTAGGAAAATAGGGGCCACCATTGGTGGGAAGGGAACAGCGCTCCATGCGCCTTTGGCGTTGAGTCATGCCGGCCACATGACCACGGAGACGTCTTCGGACAGCGCTGGCTCTTCGGCTTTGAAACGGAGATGAGCAGCGCCCCCTAGAGTCGGGAACGACTAGCACGCATGTGCGAGGGGAACTTTTAACTTTACCTTACCATTTCTTGTTTGATTCCTCTGTGTTTCAATTCTGGGGTTTTTTTCCTCTCTCTCTAGTCCTATCCATTTTAAGAGAGATTACTTCCTGTGTAATAATCCTAACCCCTTAGTGAATTTCTTGGAAGTAGAAGCTGGGGGTGGAAGTTAACAAAATGCAAAATGCCGGGCTCATCCGTTGTGAATTTTCGCTAGTAAAATCAGGTGCCAGAATGTCAGCGGTAGGATCTTCTCCCTGCCTCAGTGTTAATTCTGTAGTTCTGTTTGCTGATGAACGATGCACCGTATTTTTTGGACTATAAGACACACCTAAATTTAAAAGAGGAAAACAACAACAAAAAGTTTTTGGCCTCCGCGCACCCCATTTTCAGCCCTTTTTTTGGCCCATTTTCGAGGCTTTTTTCAGCCCATTTTCAAGGCTTTTTTTGACCTGTTTTTGAGGCTTTTTTCGGCCCATTTTCTAGGCTTTTTTCAGCCCATTTTCAAGGCCTTTTTTGACCTGTTTTGAGGCTTTTTTCGGCCCATTTTCTAGGCTTTTTTCAGCCCATTTTCAAGGCCTTTTTGACCTGTTTTGAGGCTTTTTTCAGCCCATTTTGTAGGCTTTTTTCAGCCCATTTTCAAGGCCTTTTTTGACCTGTTTTGAGGCTTTTTTCGGCCCATTTTCTAGGCTTTTTTCAGCCCATTTTCAAGGCCTTTTTTGACCTGTTTTGAGGCTTTTTTCGGCCCATTTTCTAGGCTTTTTTCAGCCCATTTTCAAGGCTTTTTTTGACCTGTTTTTGAGGCTTCTTTCGGCCCATTTTGTAGGCTTTTTCAGCCCATTTTCAAGGCCTTTTTTGACCTGTTTTTGAGGCTTTTTTCGGCCCATTTTCTAGGCTTTTTTCAGCCCATTTTCAAGGCCTTTTTTGACCTGTTTTTGAGGCTTTTTTCGGCCCATTTTCTAGGCTTTTTTCAGCCCATTTTCAAGGCCTTTTTTGACCTGTTTTGAGGCTTTTTTCGGCCCATTTTCTAGCCTTTTTTGACCTGTTTTGAGGCTTTTTTCGGCCCATTTTCTAGGCTTTTTTCAGCTCATTTTCAAGGCTTTTTTTGACCTGTTTTTGAGGCTTTTTTCAGCCCATTTTCAAGGCCTTTTTTGACCTGTTTTTGAGGCTTTTTTCGGCCCATTTTCTAGGCTTTTTTCAGCCCATTTTCAAGGCCTTTTTTGACCTGTTTTGAGGCTTTTTTTGGCCCATTTTCTAGGCTTTTTTCAGCCCATTTTCAAGGCCTTTTTTGACCTGTTTTGAGGCTTTTTTCGGCCCATTTTGTAGGCTTTTTTGAGCCCATTTTCAAGGCCTTTTTTTTTTGACCTGTTTTTGAGGCTTTTTTCGGCCCATTTTGTAGGCTTTTTTCAGCCCATTTTCAAGGCCTTTTTTGACCTGTTTTTGAGGCTTTTTTCGGCCCATTTTCTAGGCTTTTTTCAGCCCATTTTCAAGGCCTTTTTTGACCTGTTTTGAGGCTTTTTTCGGCCCATTTTCTAGGCCTTTTTTGACCTGTTTTGAGGCTTTTTTCGGCCCATTTTCTAGGCTTTTTTCAGCTCATTTTCAAGGCTTTTTTTGACCTGTTTTTGAGGCTTTTTTCAGCCCATTTTCAAGGCCTTTTTTGACCTGTTTTGAGGCTTTTTTCGGCCCATTTTCTAGGCTTTTTTCAGCTCATTTTTTAAGGAAAAATGGGCCGAACAAAGCCTCAGAAACGGGCTGCAAAAAAGCCTCGAAAACAGGGCAAAAAAGGCCTTGAAAAAGGCCCAAAAACGGGGCGTGCAGAGGCCAAAAAACAGCTGGCGGGTGAGCGGGCCTTCAGCAATATCGGTCTTTAACACGCATAGACATTTTCATCCCCTTTTGGAAGACAAAAAAGTGTGCCTTAGTCTGAAAAATACAATATTTCATGGTAGAATCCTTAACCTTTACTTTTAGTTTAACTGAGTGTTTTCATTTTGGTGGGACCAGGAATTCCGTGTTCTAAATAAAATGTGGTTTTTTTTCTCTTGCTTGGTGACCCCCCCCCCCCCCCCGGCAAGGCTTGGGAAGTCCCCTGAGAGAAGCCACGTTTCCTCGGAGTCGTACGAGCCAATCTCTCCGCCGCAGGCGCCAGCGGCCCACGAGAAACAAGACAACTTCCTGCTTCTCTCGCAAAGGCCGGAGCCTTCGGAACAGAGGTAACTGGGGTTTGTGGGTCACATTAACCAGTGGAACTGCTTGCCTCCGGAAATCGTGGGTGCTTCGACGCTGGAAGCTTTTTTTAACAAGAGACTGGACAGCCATTGGTATAGGGTCTCCTGCTCGAGCAGGGGGTTGGACTAGAAGACCTTCAAGGTCCCTTCCAAGTCTGTAATTCCCTTAAATGTGGAGACTCTAGAAAGAGTGCAGAGAAGATCAACGAAGATGATGAGGGGATGACTGGAGGCTAAAACATATGAAGAACAGTTGTAAGAACTGGCTATGTCTAGTTTAATGAAAAGAAGGACTAGGGGAGACATGATAGCAGTGTTCCAATATCTCAGGGGCTGCCACGAAGAAGAGGGAGTCAAGCTATTCTCCAAAGCCCCTGAAGGCAGGACAAGAAGCAACGGGTGGAAACCAATCAAGGAGAGAAGCAACTTAGAACTAAGGAGAATTTTCCTGACAATTAGAACAATTAATAAGTAGAACAACTTGCCACCAGAAGTTGCAGATGCTCCAACACTGGAAGTTTTTAAGAAGATGTTGGATAACCATTGGTCTGAAGTGGTGTAGGGTTTCCTGCCTAAGCAGGGGGTTGGACTAGATGACCTCCAAGGTCCCTTCCAACTCTGTTATTCTGTTCTTATTAGGTTTGGCACATGTTGCCTTAGATCCTGCAGCTCTATTATGGTCATAAGTCAAGGACTCCCCACAGTAGTATTTACATACAGAGTGTGTTGAAGAATTCGCAGAGCAACCCTAGAGTAGCAAGGGTGTGCACGTGAAAGCGACTGAGAGCAGTTGCAAATAATCACAGTCAACACACAGATACACTGAGTTGTGTTTACTTTTAGGAAAATAGTAATAAGGCACAGTCCAATAAACAGTCCAGGTCATGCACAGATAAAACAGTAGATAGTAAAACAATAGTCCAGGGGTATTCCAGTAACAAAGTCTTCTTACCAGTCGTTGTAGTCATACACAATAAACAGTTGCAAACAGTAGCAAAACACAGCACAGAGCAGTAAAGAGTAGTAACGATCAGCAAGGAGTAACAAAGAGAAACAAACTCTGTTTCAAGCTCCCTCTTAAGGATATTGGCTACAGATCAAGCCAAACAGGACACAGTATGATGCAATAACAGCAATACAGTCTTAAAGCTATATTGAGGTTTTATATATTGCCAGCCCAACATGTTAGTAAATTATCATTTCCTAACAGAGTGTTTCAAAGAAGATCAGAAACTTAGAGAAATCCCAAAGCTGTAGGCTGAAGATGGAAATCAAAAGGGAAAAAAAAAAAAATCAGAAGGTTTTGCATTATTGAGAGGGAGCTTGGAGTCCTAGTGGACGATCACTTGAATATAAACCAGCCGTGTGTAACAGCAGCAGCCAAAAAAGCTAATCCTACAATCCTGGCTTGTATTAGCTTTTTTCAAGAAGCATGTGAAATATTAGCACCGCTTTATAAAACCACACCTGGAATATTCTGCAACCAATTTTGGTCACCAGACTACAAAAAAGATGTTGAGACTTTGGAAAAAGTTCAGAGAAGAGCCACTAAGATGATCAAAGGCCTGGAGCAGTGGTGGGTTCCTCCCAGTTCCGCCCGGTTCCGCCGAGCTGGTAGTGGTGACGATATGACGTCACTGCTTGCCTCCATCCCCACTCCCCGCATTATTCTTACCTTTTGTTTGGCCCCACCCCCAATCTATTGCTGCCTCCTGAGTCCCAGCTGATGGCTAGAGGGGAAAAAACTGTTTAAACTCTTGCCACAGGGCTTCAAAGGACTGCCCTACAGCTGATCAGTGTTAAAAGAAAACAAATGAGTAGACCAGTGCCTGCAAAAATACATGAGTAGATCAGTGCCTGCAGAAATACATGAGTAGACCAGTGCCTGCAGAAATACATGAGTAGATCAGTGCCTGCAGAAATACATGAGTAGACCAGTGCCTGCAAAAATACATGAGTAGATCAGTGCCTGCAGAAATACATGAGTAGACCAGTGCCTGCAAAAATACATGAATAGATCAGTGCCTGCAAAAATAAATGGATAGACCGGTGCCTGCAAAAATACATGAATAGATCAGTGCCTGCAGAAATACCTGAGTAGATCAGTGCCTGCAAAAATACATGAGTAGATCAGTGCCTGCAAAAATACCTGAGTAGACCAGTGCCTGCTAAAATACATGAATAGATCAGTGCCTGCAAAAATACAAGAGTAGATTAGTGCCTGCAGAAATACATGAGTAGACCAGTGCCTGCAGAAATACATGAGTAGATCAGTGCCTGCAGAAGTACATTAGTAGATCAGTGCCTGCAAAAATAATGGGTAGATCGGTACAGCTCTGCAAGCAGTTAAAAGCCTGGTAGACCAGTACCTCTGCTAAATCCTAAAGAATTGTCACATGACCATCAAGCCACGCCCACAAAATAAGCCACGCCCATAAAACCGGTAGTAAAAAAAAATTTAGAACCCACCCCTGGCCTGGAGACTGAAAGCATACGAAGAACGGTTGCAGGATTTGGGTTTGGCTACTCTAGAGAAAAGAAGGACGGGGGAAACATGATCGCAGTCTTCAAGTATTTGAGGGGCTGCCCCAAAGAAGAGGGAGTCAAGCTATTCTCCAGAAGGCAGGAGAAGAAGCAACGGATGGAAATTGATCAAGAAGAGAAGCAACCTGGAACTAAGGAGAAACTTCCTAACCGTGAAGACAATTTACCAGTGGAACTGCTTGCCACCAGAAATCGTGGGCGCTCCATCACTGGTTTTTTAAATATGGTTCAGCCAAATTTATCTAACTTGTTTTATTTCTATTTTAAATTTTGTATTTATATGTTTTATTTCATGGCTGTTCACCGCCCTGAGTCCTTCGGGAGTAGGGCGGTATACAAATCTAATAAACAAACAAACAATAAACAAACTGGAGGTTTTTAAGAAGAGACTGGACAGCCACTTGTCTGAAATGGTAGAGGGCCTGCTACTTGAGCACAGGGCTGGACTAGAAGACCTCCGAGGTCCCTTCCAGCTCATTTATTCTATTCTCTGGTGCAAAAAAAAACCCCCAACCAGGATGCGTCTATTCAGGTAGTCCTCGATTTAGAGCGGTTCATTTAGTGACTTTTCAAAGTGACAACAGCACTGAAAACGGCCATTTTCCACACTTACGACTGTTGCAGCCTGCGGACGATGCTGATCTGGCCCTCAAAGAAATCCAGTTTGACACCCCTGCTCTATATATAGTAATGGCCAAAATTGTGGAAACTGTTGTGACCCCGACTCCCGAGCCTGTCCTAACAGAGGAAGAGGACTCAGAAGGTGATGGGGAGGAAATGACAAGGCCTCCCTCTCCAGGACCCTCCTCTCTGGCAATGCCTCAGGTTCCATCCGAAGGCCAGGAGGAACAGCCAGGAGGAAGGCATATCGGAGCACCGATTGATAGGGAGCAAGGATGATGAATCCTGGCTTGATCCCAGGCAGCGTTGGAGGGAGAAGCGTGCGCAGCAACGAAAGAGGCATGGGAGGGCCCGAGGTTGAGCTGAGTCACGGAGCCACACCCCACAAGGAATAAAAGTGGGTGGGATTGCTCTTCAGGCTTTGTGACGGTCAAAGTTAAAAACCTGAGAGTCACATTGCGTTACCTGAAATCTGGCTTGTGCATATTTTGGATTGGACCTTGGCCAACTTTTGCTTCGTGGATTACTTTTGGCTACTGAACCAGACTGAGGATAAACTCTCTCTTGCTGACTGTGAGTGAAAATTGACTTGGCAGGCATTTCGTAGTTTACTGCCAAAACTCTTATCTGCCAGGGTTTCTAGTCTGATTGCTTAATAAAATCTTGGCAGGCGTGCCTGGTTGTGTGTTTGCCTGTGTGGGGAAGGGGGACAGAACAGGAAACCTTTTGTGAAAAGTTGTATTTTTGAGGTTTGATGGCTAATAACACCACTTTTTTTCTTGGAGTTTCGAGATAATCCTATTCCACTGCTGGAATGGCCTGGGAATAGCCCAGATCTTCACCCAATAGAAAATCTAGGGAGCCGACTAAAGAAACTGGTTAGTCAGAAGCGACCCAGCAATAAAACCCAGTTCATAGAAGCCATCATTCCATCTTGGTTTCACATGAGAACAGCTGCAGAACTCAAAGACTTGGTTCACTCCATGAGAAGATGTTGTAAGGCCATCATTCATGCTGAAGGTGACCCAACGAAGGATTAACTGACATGGGGATCATTTTTGTATATCTCGTTTTTTCCTATGGTGATAATTTGTGTATATCTCATTTTTTTTCAACGTGTTTCTCTTTTCCTCTTTATATTGTAACTGCTATTCTCATAGCAAATCCTTCATCAAAGTTATTACATTCTTGATTAAATTATCTTTCCATGGATATATAATTTTATGGTACTACTAAAAAAAAAAAAAAGTGGTGTTACTAGCTGGTTTTAGAAAATAAACTTTTCCCACAATTTTCCACAATTTTGGCCACTATTGTACTTATCCTTTCCCTCCGTCCTCCTTCCGGCATGCATTTAATTCTTTTCTCGGTTTTTTTTTTTCCCCCTCTTTGGCTCTTATACAGGACAGACTCCCGTTCTCCCGGCAACATCACCTACCTGCCTTCCTTCTTCACCAAACTGGAGAATACCTCCCCGATGGTGAAGTCGAAGAAGCAGGAGATTTTTCGCAAGCTGAACTCGTGCGGGGGGAATGAATCCGATATGGGTAGGAGGTTCTTTTTTATTTCCTTCGTGGTTTTTCTTCTTTTTTTCTTCTTTTTTTCACCCTGTTGTGTGGCATCCTGGGTGCTCTCTGAACTGGGTGGTTTTCTTGAAGACGTCTCATGGCCCAACTAGGGAACATCATCAGGGCTAGAAGGGAGGAGGGTTTCCAGGGAGGAGGACTGTGGAGTCCTTGGTGCTCTCTGAGTTTGGTGGGTTGTTTTCCAGACATTTCAATATCAAACTAGGTAATACTCCCAGTGCTAGAAGGGAGGAGGGTTTGCAGGGAGGAGGAAGAGGAGGAGGGCTGTGGGGTCCTTGGTGCTCTCTGAGCTGGGTAGTTTTCTTGCAGACGTTTCATGACCCAGCTAGGTAATATCATCAGGGCTAGAAGGGAGGAGGGGGTTGTAGAAAGCTCAGGGATCCCCCAAGGACCCGTCAGTTCAACCCTGAGCTACAGACATTCCCTTCTGCTGCTCTTTCTCGACCTCTTTAACCCTCCGAAGTTAACCCGCGTCTCTTCCTTCTCTCTCTGTGAACAGCAGCTGCTCAGCCTGGGACAGAAATATTCAACTTGCCAGCAGTCACCACTTCAGGTACGGACTTTGGAAGTGAGCACAGTGGTGGGTTCCTCCCGGTTCAGCCGAGCCGGTAGCGGTGACGATATGACGTCACCAAACCGGTTCTCTTTGTTTGGGAGCTGAGCCTTACCGTCCTGTTCTCCCCCCCTTGAGTTATTCTTACCTTTTATTTGGCCCCACCCCCAATTTTTTGCTGCCTCCCGAGTCCCAGCTGATCGGCTGGAAGGAAATAAACTGTTTAAACTCTTGCCGCGGGGCTTCAAAGAGCCGCCCTACAGCTGATCAGTGTTAAAAGGCAGTGTGGTGGTAGACAGTGCGCTCGAAAAACAAATGGGTAGACCAGTGCCTCCAAAAACAAATGAGTAGACCGGTGCCTGCAAAAACAAATGGGTAGACGGAACGCTCCAAGAACAAATGAGTAGACCGGTACAGCTCTGCAAGCAGTTAAAAGCCTGGTAGACCAGTACCTCTGCTAAATCCTAAAGAATTGTCACATGACCATCAAACCATGCCCACAAAATAAGCCACGTGTTGAGGGTAAAACTTCCCTCTGCAAAGTGGTGCAACGGACCAGACAGCGAATAGATACGTTGCTTAGCAAAACACACAGATACTCACAGACTCTGAACGTTTAAAGAAAAATAAACAGTCTTTACCTGTAGTATAAAACAAACTTGGCTTCTTAAAACAATCACGGTTCAACACAAAAACATAGTTTGCTTACAATTCCAGTTCTCTTCAGTAACACAGACACAGTTCCTTTCAGCAGTTCAACCTTCTAATATCAGGAGCAGAAGTGAATGGACTTAATGCCTTCTTTTATGTCTGCTTAGCACAGCCAATTAGTCATCTTTGTAGCAGTTAAAGTTACAGAACATAGTTTTCTATATATTACCTACCCAACCGTAGGATAAGCATCGCAACACCACGCCCACAGAACCGGTAGTAAAAAAATTTAGAACCCACCCTGAGCGAGCAGATATTTCATGGCGCGTTTCGGTCTTCCCATTTGCCTCCAGAAGTTGCGAATGCTCCAACACCGGAAGTTTTTAAAAAGAGATTGGGTAACCATTTATCTGAAGCGGTGTAGGGTTTCCTGCCTAAGCAGCGGGTTGGACTAGAAGACCTCCGAGGTCCCTTCCAACTGTTAATTCTATTCTAGGGCTGGAAAAGGGTCTCTCGTACGAGCATCACCCCTTTCCTCTCTCATGGGTTCTTCCTCCCTCCCTCCTCTCCCTTCCAGGTTCGGTGAGCGCCCGAGGCCCGTCCTTAGCCGATCCCGCCAGCAACCTGGGTCTGGAAGACATTATCCGCAAAGCCCTGATGGGCAGCTTCGACGACAAAGGGGAGGACCACAGCCTGGTCATGGGGCAGCCCATAGGGTTGGTGCCTAGCGGGTCCAGCGGATCATTACCAACGAACAGCGAAACTCGACGGGAGGAAACCAGCCCCTCCCCCAATCCTGGTGAGCATTTCGGGGGCCGGCTTTGGTCCCTTTGGAGGTAGACGTGATGTTGAGATGGATCTCCCGCTACCTGGGTTCTTTGCAAGGCGGTGTCGGACTACAACTCCCATCTTTCCCCCATTCTCCCAGCAGGCTCAGCCTTATCTTTCCTGCTGGTTTTGGTGGGGGTTGAATGGCCGCCTTTTTAAAAGGGGGAGATTTGTCCTTGCTACGAGTAGTCCTCGACTTACGACCGTTCGTTGAGCGGCCGAAGTTACCGCGGCACTGAGAAAAGCAGCTCGAGACCGTTTTTTCACACTCGCGACCATTGCGGCACCCCGTGGTCGCGTGATCAAAATTCTTGGCAAACTGACTCCTATTTATGACGGTCGCAGTGTGTCGTTCCCCCCGCCCCCCCGGGGTCACGCGATCCCCTTGGGCGACCTTCTGTACGAGCCAAGTCAACGGGGCAAGCCGGATTCACTTAACAACCGTGTGGCTCACTTATCGACTGCCGTGACTCGCTTAACAACTCCGGCAAGACAGGTCGTAAAATGGGGCGAAACTCACTGAACAGCCGTCACGCTTAGCAACAGAAATGTTGGGATCAGCTTTGGTCGTACGTCGAGGACTACCTGAAGCGCGTTCTGTTGGGGAGTTTCTGAATTCAGCTGGTCTGTGCTGATACGGTTGCCTTCTTCACACAAACACACACACACACAAACACAAATGCATATTTCCCCAGAGCTGAGCTGGCAGATTGCGGTAAGAAAGGGTTCCATTTTTGGTATATATAGAAGAACCCCAAAATGATGATGATCTTCTTATCATATAGAAAAATAGTATTTGCAAAATGTGTGTGTATGCTTAACCAGGGGATGGACAAGGTAGTCCCTAAGAGATAAGAAAACCAGGACATGGGTTATAATAGCCCACGGAAAAAGGACGTTTATATCAATGCTTCCCAATCTTAAGCTGTTTTAAGGTGCATGGACTTCCACTCCCAGAATCCCCCAGCCATCCTGCTTTAAGATGGGTGGACTTCCACTCCCAGAATTCCCTAGCCAGCATGGTTTAAGATGAGTAGACTCGAACTCCCAGAATCCCCCAGCCAGCATCCTTTAAGAGGGATGGACTTCCACTCCCAGAATCCCCCAGCCAGCATCCTTTAAGAGGGATGGACTTCCACTCCCAGAATTCCCCAGTCAGCCATGCTTTAAGAGGAGTGGACTCCAACTCCCAGAATTCCCCAGCCAGCAGGATTTAAGATGGGTGGACTTCCACTCCCAGAATCCCCCAGCCAGCCTGCTTTAAGAGGAGTGGACTTCAACTCCCAGAATTCCCCAGCCAGCAATGCTTTAAAATGGGTGGACTCCAACTCCCAGAATCCCCCAGCCACCATGCTTTAAGAGGGATGGACTTCCACTCCCAGAATCCCCCAGCCAGCCATGCTTTAAGAGGTGAAATCCGCTGATTCTTATTGGTGCTCCCCATAACTCCTTTCCTCCTCCTCTTCCTCTTCTTCCAGGTGGGGGGCTCAGCAAGCAGAAGCTGATGGGGAAATCCGGGGGCAGGAAGTCCAAGTCCCCACTTCCTGGCCAGGGCTACCTGGGAACGGAGCGCCCCTCCTCGGTCTCCTCGGTGCATTCGGAAGGGGACTATCACCGGCAGACCCCCGCCTGGTCGTGGGAGGACCGGCCTTCTTCGACAGGTGAGCCCCGGCAGCACGGCCCAGGTGTTTCTCTGTGTGAGTGCGGGCCGTCCAGATGTTTAGGACACTCTTATTATTAAAGAAGTGAGACCGCTAAGTGAGACGGTTGTTAAGCAAGGTTCGCCCCGATTTTACGACCTTCCTTGCTACAGTTGTTAAGTGAACCACTAGAGTTATTAAATTAGCAACACGCTGGTTAAATAAATCTAGCTTCCCCCGTTGACTTGGCTTGTCAGATGGTCGCAAAAAGGATATCACATAACCCCCGGGACGGTGGAACCGTCATAAGTACGAGACAGTTGTCAAATGGCCGGATTTTGAGTCCAAAATTTATGCTGTTAAGGGAAACGTTGGTTAAGGGAGTTTTGCCTCCCCGTTTACGACTTTTCTTGCCACGGTTGTTAAATGAATCATTGCATTTGTTAAATGAGTCACGTGGTTGTTAAATGAATCTGGCTTCCCCATTGAAAGGGGGATCACGTGACCTCCTATTTGAACCTCCTGTTCAAACGGCCGCTAAACAAGTTATTGTAAGTCAAGCACTCTCTGCGACCGAATTACCCCAACCCCCATCATCCTATCCTATCCAAACGGTCGCTAAACGAGTTATTTCAAGTCAAGGAATCCTTGCGGCCAAATTACCCCAAACCCCATCAATCCCTCCTATTCCAACGGTCACTAAACAAGTTATTTTAAGTCGAGCACTCCCTGTGGCCATATTTCCCCAAAGCCCATCATCCCCTCTTATCCAAACACTCAAATAAGTTATTGCAAGTCGAGGACTATGAATAAAAGTTGACAGATAAATGATATAGATAAAATAGAAAGTTAAATGAGGGATAAGACAAAAAAGAAATAGAAACTCAGATGACAGCAGAGTAAATGGAAAAGGGGGAGGGGAAAGAAAGACAATTATAAATATAAATGTACAATTATGAAATGATAGATTGGGTACAATGGGAAAGAAATTGAAAAGAAATTTCAAGACCTCGGCGCCTTCCGCCGTGCCCTTAAAACCTTCTTTTTCCAGCAAGCCGGGCTGGCCTAACACTTTTTAAAATGTTTTAATTGTTTGTTATTGTTTTTAATCATGGGGCCAAATTTATATATATCTTTTTGATTGTATTTTAATGTTTGTAGTTTATGCTTTTACTTGGCTCTTCACTGCCCTGAGTCCTCAGGGAGAAGGGCGGTATGCAAATTTAACAATCAATCAATCAATCAATCAATAATAAATAAATAAATAAGAACAAAAAGAAAGAAAGAAAGAAAGAAAGAAAGAAAGAAAGAAAGAAAGAAAGAAAGAAAGAAAGAAAGAAAGAATATATTATTAAAAATTGGAGTTGCTCGGATACCAAATAAGGGAAATATTGCACAATAATATTTGTAGGGGGGGGGGGCGACAAAGCAGGTATGTTCAAAAGTAGGAAGGCTATTGCTTAAAAGCATTGTAAGCCGCCCTGAGTCTCCGGAGAAGGGCGGCATATAAATCGAACCAATAAATAAATAAATAAATAAATAAACAAAGGAGGAGGAGGAAAGGAGAGAGGAGGAGAGGGAGAGAGAGGAATGGAAGAAAGGGGAAGGGGAGGAAGAAAGGATAGGGGACAAGAGCAGGAGAGAAGGGGAGAAAGGGGGAAAAGAAGGGAGGAGTGGGGAAGAGGAAGGGGAAGTAAGGGAGGAGTGGGGAAGAGGAAGGGGAAGTAAGGGAGGAGTGGGGAAGAGGAAGGGGAAGTAAGGGAGGAGAGAGAGGAGGAGGAAGAAAGTAGAAGAGGAGAGGATGAGGGAGGGGAAAGAAAGAAGAAGGAGAAGAAGGTTTGTTGTGAAAAGAAGGAAAAGAGAGTAGAGCAATCCCAAATGTGATTAAAATGTCTTATTTTTATGCTTTCGTTAGAAAAAAATATGCATATATACGATCGAATATGGATAAGAGAATGTACATTTACAATATGTGTCTAAGAAATAAAAATTAAAAACTTTTTTCAAACAACAACAACAAAAAAGAAGAGAACTCCCTGCGGCCGAATTACCCCCAACCCCATCCCTCCACGCCGCTCAAACGGTCCCTGCGCAGACGGTCGTAACTCGAGGAACGCCAAACCTCTAACCCGCCTCTCCCCTCTTCTTCCCTCCCCCACCCCCTCCCTCCCCACAGGTTCCACGCAGTTCCCCTACAACCCGCTGACCATCCGGATGCTGAGCAACACGCCCCCCACCTCCATGGCCTGCGCCCCCCCCTCCGCCAGCCAGGCCGCCGCAGCCGCCGCCGCACACCAGCCCAGCCGGATATGGGAGCGGGAACCGGCCCCTCTGCTCTCCGCCCAGTACGAGACACTTTCCGACAGCGACGACTGACACGGACGGACGGACGGACGGACGGAACGTAGCTTGCCCTGCTTTGGGGAAGAAAAAAAAAAAAAACGAGAGACACGCACACACAAACACAAAAAGAAAGAAAGAAAGAAAGAAAGAAAGAAAGAAAGAAAGAAAGAAAGAAAGAAAGAAAGAAAGAAAGAAAGAAAGAAAGAAAGAAAGAAATATTCAGCAGGGAAGTTTGCAAAATGGCTGCATTTTTATTTTAAAAAAAAGCCACAAACTGCCCCACACGCCCCGAGGTTGTCGGAAGGAGAGAAATACGGGATTTTTTCCCCTTTTTCCTCCGCCGGCATCCCGAAGATAAATACGTGTAAAGAGTTTTTTTTTGGGGGGGGGGTTCTTTTTTTAAAAGAGGGGGAAAAAAATAAATAGGACGTGTTATTCCCGACCTCTCTACGAAAAAGGAAGAAGAAGAAAAAAAAAAGAGGAAAAAAAAATTACCTTTCTTCTGTAAATAGAATAACTTTTTCTGCAGTGTATTTCCGCACGGCCACCCCTCTTCCCCCCCCCTCCCCACTTCCACCCCCCCACCCCCCACCCCCCACTCACTTTCAACCCTGGCTAGACTTTCTGGTGTTCAAAATCATTGTTGTAAACTTTGGGGGTCATTATATATATATGCATATATATATATATATATATATATTTTTCAAGGCCTTGTCTCAAGAGTTAAGACGCTTCCGAAATTTTGGGGGTGCGAGCAAGAGGACGCCCCTCCCCCCCTTCCTTTTGCATCATCTGTCTGTAGAAATGGGGAGGGGGGGCAGAGAAAGAGAGACCTTTGGGGCATCACCCTTTGTCTTTAGGGGAGGGGGCAATTTGGCCCAAACAGGTTGCTCCTTCCTTCCTCCCTTTTTCCTTCCTTCCTTCCTTCCTCCCTCCCTCTTTCCCTTTTCCTTCCTTCTTTCCTTCCCTCCTTCAGTCATTCATTCCTCCCTCCCTCTTTTCCTTCCTTTCTCTTTTCCTTCCTTTCTTCCTTTTTACTCTTCCTTCTTTCCTTACTCTTTTCCCCCCTTCCTTTCTCCCTCCCTTTCTTCCTTCTTTCCCTTTTCCTTCCTTTCTTCCTCCCTCTTCCCTTCCTTTCTTCTTTTCCCTTCCTTCCTTCCTCTTTTCCCCTTCTCTTCCTTCTTTCCTTACTCTTTTCCCCCTCCCTCCTTCCCTCCCTTTCTCCCTCTCCCTTTTCCTTCCGTCCTTCCTTCCTCCCTCTTTTCCCTTCCTTTCTTCCTCTTTTTCCTTCCTTCCTCTTTTCCCTTTCTCTTCCTTCTTTCCTTACTCTTTTTTCCCCCTCCCTCCTTCCCTCCCTTTCTCCCTCCCTCCCTTTCCCTTCCTTCCTTCCTTCGTTTCCCCCTTCTCTTCCTTCTTTCCTTGCCCTTTTCCCTTTCTCTTCTTTCCTCCCTCCCTCCCTCCTTCTTTGCTCCCTCCCTCCGTCTTTCCGTACATAGCACCCCGCTTGCTCTCCGGCACGACTTGCCTTCTCCCCCCACCCCAAAATCTAAACCCCCTGCCCTTCCCCCCCCTCCTCCCCCTCCTCCCTCTTTTTCTGTGGTTGTTAAAAAACTTGTGGAAAAGATGTTTTGTTTTGTTTTTTTCCTTTTGAAAACTGACCCCCTTCCGCGAGATCTGTACATTTGAAATCTCCGGTCTGCTGGAATAACCGAGATCTTTTTCATGATTATGCCACGCTGTCATTTTAATTTTTTGTTTTGTTTTGTTTGCGTTGGTTTTCTTTTTTTTCCCCGTACAGTTGATTTTGCTCCGCAACACTGGGGAAAAAAACCATTGCATGGGCCTTTCTCTCTCAAAATGTCCAAGCTTTATTCTCCTCCTAATTTTTTTTTTTTTTTTTAATTTTCTTTTTCAGCCCTTCCTTCCCGTAAACTCTCTTCTCCTTTTCCTGTCTTCCCTCCCAAACCATCAGCTGCTTTTTCTCCGGATCGAAAGCAAAAGGTCCGGTCGGTCTCCAGCCGGAGCGAGGCCAAGTCTCAAATCTTGTTCCTTCCACGGAAATCTCTGCATCCCAAATTCACATTTCTTCCCATATAAAAAAAAAATAAAAGAAATAAATTGTGGATTTGGTCAAAAACTCTGGCCCGTTCGGTTGGCCTCGCTAGAGAATTTCCCACGCATTTTTTTGGGGGGGGGGGGCGGCAAAAGGAGGCTTCCGGGGGGCGTTTGGAAACCACGGATGGCTGGGGCTGGGGTCGAAAAGCCGATTTTGTGCAACGGCGAGAAGATTTGCGAAAGAATTCGAACCTTGGACCGGGTCGAGCTTTTCGGAGAATCTCAACCAAGGAGAAAAAAAAAAAACACCTTGAATTGAAAGATAAATATGACCTGTAAATCTCTTTTTTCTCTCCTTTTGTTTCATGAAAAAGGCTCAAATTTTCCTCGGGGGCATTATAGGATAGCATGGGCAAATTTTGGGGGGCAGCGTTAACTAAATCTGGACAACTTTGAAGAGGGGTGGACTTCAACTCCCAGAATTCCCCTGTCCGCCGGGGAATCCTGGGAGTTGAAGTCCACCCCACTTCAATGTCCTGGAGATTGGAAAACACGGCTTTTAAAAAAAAAAATTGCTGAAAGCTCATTTCTGGAGAGGAGATCCGCCTCCCACAATCCTGGAACGGTACCCATCCCTACGGCTGTGCAGATGGGAGTTGTAGTCCTCTGCAGAGCAGAGAGAAATCGCAACCTTTAGCAACCGTGATTGACGCCTGTCATTTCATCCCAGTAGGGTGCGTTGTTCCCTTTCCAGTTTTCATCCGAGGTTTGATTAAAAAATCAGAATTAAATAAAATCTCCCATCGGGCTTGCTATATAACATTGCAGGGTGTGAAGAAGGAGAGGAGGGGGGGAAAAAGGGGGGGCAGAAGTTGTGTTTTCTCCTTTCACGCAACAAAACGCACCATCGGAAACCCACACGGGGGGCAACAACGACGTATTTATGAATAAAGAAATAATAAGTCGGAATGCAAGAATTTGCAGAATTGCAAAGGGTTTTTTTTTGCAAATCTGTCATTTGCAAATTGATCTCGTTGACTATTCAGCGCTCGGCGGGCGAAATTCGAGAGATTGCAGTAAAAATAATAATAATTGGAATATTTTGCAAAATTCCAAAGATTTTGTGATATTTTTTTTTTAAATGGTCTACTTTGCACAGGGAATTTGCCCCTTTCTGTGATTTTGGATAACATTTCCAACTTTGGGAGGTAGAATAGATATTCTGGGTTTTTTTTTTTCTCCTGTCAATCATTTCTGACCCCTGCTGTTGTTCTTCCCCTTAGTAAATTCAGCAATTTTTAATTTTTCTGGGGGGTGGGGAGTGGAGAAGACGAATCCCAAATGCCCCCCCCCACTTATGACCCTGTTCTGTTGGTGCCCAGGCATTTTGCCACAAGTAAACTGGTGACTTCTACAATTCAGACCAATCAAATAATAATTAAAAAAGGCAGGTTTGCAAAAATTTCCTACAAGTCCGTCTTTTCTCGGGGTGGGGGTCCGGGGGTGGAAAGGTGGGCATTTAAAATCTGCATTCCAGAGCAGGAATTTCATCATGGCTGCACCCAGAATAATTGGGGGGGGATCTTTGCCCCCTCTCCCCACTTTCACCCATGAACCCCAAGAGAGCCTGTGGGGGGAGCTGCCACTGTCTGTTGGCCCCTTGAGTAAAGGCCTTTTTCAAGGCCTTGTCTCGAGAGTTAAGACACTTCCGAAATTTATGGGGTGCGAGCAAGAGGACGCCCCTCCCCCCCTTCCTTTTGCATCATCTGTCTGTAGAAATGGGGAGGGGGGGCGGAGAAAGAGAGACCTTTGGGGCATCACCCTTTGTCTTTAGGGGAGGGGGCCCAAACAGGTGGTTCCTTCCTCTCTCTTTCCTTTTTCCTTCCTTCCTTCCTTCTTCCCTCTTTCCCTTTTCCTTCCTTCCTTCCCTCCTTCAGTCATTCATTCCTCCCTCCCTCTTTTCCTTCCTTTCTCTTTTCCTTCCTTTCTTCCTTTTTACTCTTCCTTCTTTCCTTACTCTTTTCCCCCCTTCCTTTCTCCCTCCCTTTCTTCCTTCTTTCCCTTTTCCTTCCTTTCTTCCTCCCTCTTCCCTTCCTTTCTTCTTTTCCCTTCCTTCCTTCCTCTTTTCCCCTTCTCTTCCTTCTTTCCTTACTCTTTTCCCCCTCCCTCCTTCCCTCCCTTTCTCCCTCTCCCTTTTCCTTCCTTCCTTCATTCCTCCCTCTTTTCCCTTCCTTTCTTCCTCTTTTTCCTTCCTTCCTCTTTTCCCTTTCTCTTCCTTCTTTCCTTACTCTTTTTTCCCCCTCCCTCCTTCCCTCCCTTTCTCCCTCCCTCCCTTTCCCTTCCTTCCTTCCTTCGTTTCCCCCTTCTCTTCCTTCTTTCCTTGCCCTTTTCCCTTTCTCTTCTTTCCCCCCTCCCTCCCTCCTTCTTTGCTCCCTTCCTCCGTCTTTCCGTACATAGCACCCCGCTTGCTCTCCGGCACGACTTGCCTTCTCCCCCCACCCCAAAATCTAAACCCTCTGCCCTTCCCCCCCCTCCTCCCTCTTTTTCTGTGGTTGTTAAAAAACTTGTGGAAAAGATGTTTTGTTTTGTTTTTTTCCTTTTGAAAACTGACCCCCTTCCGCGAGATCTGTACATTTGAAATCTCCGGTCTGCTGGAATAACCGAGATCTTTTTCATGATTATGCCGTGCTGTCATTTTAATTTTTTGTTTTGTTTTGTTTGCGTTGGTTTTCTTTTTTTCCGTACAGGTGATTTTGCTCCGCAACACTGGGGAAAAAAACCATTGCATGGGCCTTTCTCTCTCAACATGTCCAAGCTTTATTCTCCTCCTAATTTTTGTTTTTTTTTTTTTTAATTTTCTTTTTCAGCCCTTCCTTCCCGTAAACTCTCTTCTCCTTTTCCTGTCTTCCCTCCCAAACCATCAGCTGCTTTTTCTCCGGATCAAAAGCAAAAGGTCCGGTCGGTCTCCAGCCGGAGCGAGGCCAAGTCTCAAATCTTGTTCCTTCCACGGAAATCTCTGCATCCCAAATTCACATTTCTTCCCCTAAAAAAAAATAATAAAAGAAATAAATTGTGGATTTGGTCAAAAACTCTGGCCCGTTCGGTTGGCCTCGCTAGAGAATTTCCCACGCATTTTTTTTGGGGGGGGGCAAAAGGAGGCTTCCGGGGGGCGTTTGGAAACCACGGATGGCTGGGGCTGGGGTCGAAAAGCCGATTTTGTGCAACGGCGAGAAGATTTGCGAAAGAATTCGAACCTTGGACCGGGTCGAGCTTTTCGGAGAATCTCAACCAAGGAAAAAAAAAAAAAACCTTGAATTGAAAGATAAATATGACCTGTAAATCTCTTTTTTCTCTCCTTTTGTTTCATGAAAAAGGCCCAAATTTTCCTCGGGGGCATTATAGCATAGCATGGGCAAATTTTGGGGGGCAGCGTTAACTAAATCTGGACAACTTTTCAGAGGGGTGGACTTCAACTCCCAGAATTCCCCTGTCCGCCGGGGAATCCTGGGAGTTGAAGTCCACCCCACTTCAATGTCCTGGAGATTGGAAAACACGGCTTTTTAAAAAAAAATTGCTGAAAGCTCATTTCTGGAGAGGAGATCCGCCTCCCACAATCCTGGAATCCCTACGGCTGTGCAGATGGGAGTTGTAGTCCTCTGCAGAGCAGAGAGAAATCGCAACTTTTAGCAACCGCAATTGTCATTTCATCCCAATAGGGTGCTTTGTTCCCTTTCCAGTTTTCATCCGAGGTTTGATTAAAAAATCAGAATTAAATAAAATCTCCCATCGGGCTTGCTATATAACACTGCAGGGTGTGAAGAAGGAGAGGGGGGGGAAAGGGGGGGCAGAAGTTGTGTTTTCTCCTTTCACGCAACAAAACGCACCATCGGAAACCCACACGGGGGGGCAACGACGACGTATTTATGAATAAAGAAATAATAAGTCGGAATGCAAGAATTTGCAGAATTGCAAAGGTTTTTCTGCAAATCTGTCATTTGCAAATCGATCTCGTTGACTATTCAGCGCTCGGCGGACGAAATTCGAGAGATTGCAGTAAAAATAATAATAATTGGAATATTTTGCAAAATTCCAAAGATTTTGTGATTTATTTTTTCTTTTAAATGGTCTACTTTGCACAGGGAATTTGCCCCTTTCTGTGATTTTGGATAACATTTCCAACTTTGGGAGGTAGAATAGATATTCTGGGGGGGGGGTTTTCTCCTGTCAATCATTTCTGACCCCTGCTGTTGTTCTTCCCCTTAGTAAGTTCAGCAATTTTTAATTTTTCTGGGGGGTGGGGAGTGGAGAAGACGAATCCCTGCCCCCCCCCCACTTATGACCCTGTTCTGTGGGTGCCCAGGCATTTTGCCACAAGTAAACTGGTGACTTCTACAATTCAGACCAATCAAATAATAATAAAAAAAGGCAGGTTTGCGAAAATTTCCTACAAGTCCGTCTTTTCTCGGGGTGGGGGTCGGGGGGTGGAAAGGTGGGCATTTAAAATCTGCATTCCAAGCAGGAATTTCATCATGGCTGCGCCCAGAATAATTGGGGGGGGATCTTTGCCCCCTCTCCCCACTTTCACCCATGAACCCCAAGAGAGCCTGTGGGGGGAGCTGCCACTGTCTGTTGGCCCCTTGAGTAAAATCTTAAATCTGTTCCCCGTTGTTGTAGGGTACAAAGGAAGATGTGAGAATTACACCAAAACAGAAGTTTTTCTCAAACTTTGAAAGGGGTGGACTTCAACTCCCAGAGTTTGCTAATAAAGAGGCTGGCTGGGGATTCTGGGAGTGGAAGTCCACCCATCTTAAAGCATGCAGTTTGGGGATTCTGGGAGTGGAAGTCCACCCATCTTAAAGCATTGCTGGCTGGAGGATTCTGGGAGTGGAAGTCCACCCATCTTAAAGCATTGCTGGCTGGAGGATTCTGGGAGTGGAAGTCCACCCATCTTAAGGCATGCAGTTTGGGGGATTCTGGGAGTGGAAGTCCACCCATCTTAAAGCATGCGGGTTGGGGGATTCTGGGAGTGGAAGTCCACCCATCTTAAAGCATGCGGGTTGGGGGATTCTGGGAGTTGAAGTCCACCCATCTTAAAGCATGCGGGTTGGGGGATTCTGGGAGTGGAAGTCCACCCATCTTAAAGCATGCTGGCTGGGGGATTCTGGGAGTTGAAGTCCACCCATCTTAAAGCATGCAGTTTGGGGGATTCTGGGAGTGGAAGTCCACCCATCTTAAAGCATGCGGGTTGGGGGATTCTGGGAGTTGAAGTCCACCCATCTTAAAGCATGTGGGTTGGGGGATTCTGGGAGTGGAAGTCCACCCATCTTAAAGCATGCTGGCTGGGGGATTCTGGGAGTTGAAGTCCACCCATCTTAAAGCATGCAGTTTGGGGGATTCTGGGAGTGGAAGTCCACCCATCTTAAAGCATGCAGTTTGGGGGATTCTGGGAGTGGAAGTCCACCCATCTTAAAGCATGCAGGTTGGGGGATTCTGGGAGTTGAAGTCCACCCATCTTAAAGCATGCGGGTTGGGGGATTCTGGGAGTGGATGTCCACCCATCTTAAAGCATGCTGGCTGGGGGATTCTGGGAGTTGAAGTCCACCCATCTTAAAGCATGCAGTTTGGGGGATTCTGGGAGTGGAAGTCCACCCATCTTAAAGCATGCAGGTTGGGGGATTCTGGGAGTTGAAGTCCACCCATCTTAAAGCATGCAGTTTGGGGGATTCTGGGAGTGGAAGTCCACCCATCTTAAAGCATGCAGGTTGGGGGATTCTGGGAGTTGAAGTCCACCCATCTTAAAGCATGCAGGTTGGGGGATTCTGGGAGTGGAAGTCCACCATCCTTAAAGTTGCCAAGGTTGAGAAAAGGTCCCCTAATCTTCCACCTTAACTCAGTAACTTAACTTTTTCTCAAAGTTTTGGGGAAAGAGCACCCTAAGTATTGACAGGACTAAAAACTACAACATGGCCAAACTTCCCATCTCCTCAACAGAGCTTCTTGAGTTTCAACCCCCTTCTTGAATCCATCGGCTCCAGAGATTTGAACCCAGGTCCTCTCTGCAAACTATTTGACTGCTGCACCCAGAAAAAAACGGCTTCATGAGATCAAGGTTGGACCTTCCGGGTTTCAAATTCACAGGAAAAGAAATTTTTTTTACCTCATTCTCCTTGTTGGCCTTTCCTACCTGCCCCACATTTTGTCGTACAGATAGTCTTCGACTTGCGACCACAATTGAGCCCAACATTTCCGTTGCTAAGTGAGACAACTGCTAAGTGAGCTTTGGCCCGTTCCACTATACTTTCCACAGCTGTTAAGCGTTATCACCGCGATTGTTTAAATTAATAACACCGTTGTTAAGCGAGGCTGGCTTCCCCCACTGACTCTGCTGGGCAGAAAATCCCAAATTTTGATCACGCGATCCCTGGGGATGCTGGAACGGTCGTTAAGTGTGACAAACAGTCCCTTTTTCCAGCGCCAATGCGACTTCGAACGGTCACTAAATGAATTTTTGTAAGTCAAGGACAGCCTGTAGTTAACGCCAACCTGTAGGGGACGCCTTTTGCAGGCCTCCATGAGGTCCAGTGAGACGACTGGGAAATAATAAATTTTATTGCTTAAGCTGCAGATATCTCCGCTTTTATTCGGCCCCGGAGATCCAAACGGTCACTAAACGAACTTGTTGTATATCAAGGACAACCTGACAATGGTCTGTAGGTTCTCTTGCTGGGGGGGGGGGTTGGACTAGATGACCTGCAAGGTCCCTTCCAACTCCGTTAAATCTAATCTGTAGTTAACGCCAACCAGGAGGGGGATGCCTTTTGCAAGCCTCCATGAGGTCTAGTGGCATGACTGGGGAAATTTAAAAATAATACATTTTATTGCTTAAGCTGCAGATATCTCTGCTTTATTCGGCCCCGGGGGCTCCAAATTGGGGCTGTTCTCGGGGGTCCTCGCCTTCTGCCCTCCAGCTGGCATCCCCTAGGCGCCGTCCTCGTGAGCAGGGCGCAGATCGAGGGCTGCCCCACGCGATCCGCGCCGTGTTGACCCCGCAAGCGGAAAAGAAAGCCTATTGCAATTCGGACTCCAATGGCGGAAAGCCGGGCCGGTCACTCCTTCTGCCCCTCGGCGCCATCCTTGCCCGCGTCCGTCTCCTCCAATCCGGACTTCCCTTTGGATCTCATCCGCTTCCTCTTGGCCAGCTGAGTCAGTTCCCTCATGATGTATCGCACAGCGACGCCGTCGCCAGATTTCTCGGCCACTTCCAAGGCGGTTTTGTAAACCTGCCTGGCCTGGGAATATTCTCCTGGAAAAGAGTTAATATAGAAAATACAGGTAAGTCCTTGACTTAGGACCGTTTGTTTAGTGACCGAAGTTACAAAACGGTCCTGAAAAACGTGACTTCGGGCCGTTTTTCACACTTAACGACCGTCGCAACATCTCCACGGTCACGGGATCAAGATTCGGGCGCTTGGCCACTGACTCATATTTACGACGGTTTTCGTGTCCTCCGGAGGTCACGTGATTCCCCTTGGGCGACCTCCTGACATGCAACGTCAACGGGGGAAGCCGGATTCACTTAACAACCAACTTAACCACTGCAGTGATTCACTTAAGAACCATGGCAAGAAAGGTCATAGAATTGGGAGTGACTCACTTAATAACCACCTTGTTTTAGCGATGGGAATTCTGGCTGCCAATTGCAGTTGTGAAGTCAAGGTCTACCTGTACATAGCTAAGAGAGCAAGTTGAGTGTAGGGGTTAAAGGCACCTGGCTAAAAAGCAGGAGATCTGAATTCTAATCCTGCTTTAATCATGAAAACCAATTGGGTAATTTTGGGCCAATCACCAGGAGACGGTTGTTCTAGTCCCGCCTTAGGCATGACAGTTGGCTGTATGATTTTGGACCAATCACCAGGAGACAGTGAGTTCTAGTCCCGCCTTAGGCGTGAAAGTTGGCTTTTTTGGACCAATCACCAGGAGACATTGAGTTCTAGTCCCGCCTTACGCATGACCGTTGGCTTTTTTGGACCAATCACCAGGAGACATTGAGTTCTAGTCCCGCCTTACGCATGACATTGGCTTTTTTGGACCAATCACCAGGAGACATTGAGTTCTAGTCCCGCCTTACGCACAAAAGTTGGTTTTTTTGGACCAATCACCAGGAGACATTGAGTTCTAGTCCCGCCTTACACATGACCATTGGGTTTTTTGGACCAATCACCAGGAGAGGGTGAGTTCTAGTCCCGCCTTAGGCATGACAGTTGGTTTTTTTGGACCAATCACCATGAGACGGTGAGTTCTAGTCCTGCCTTAGCATGACAGTTGGCAGTATGATTTTGGACCAATCGCCAGGAGATTCTGAGTTCTAGTCCCGCCTTAGGCAGGACTAAAGCCGGTTGGGTGACTTTTGGGCCAGTTCCTTTCTCTGAGACCAACCTACCTCACAGGGTTGTTGTGGGGAAAATAGGAGGAGGAGAAAGTATTAGGAACGCTTTCCGCCTTGAATTATTCATAAAGAACAATAAAGGCGGTTAATAATAAAAGCACCCAAAAGTGCTTTTTCCTAAAATCAACTGGACATTCACGGGTTTTTTTTTCTTTGAAAATGTTTCGCTTCTCATGATTTGAGAATCTAGACAGAAATAATAAAAGTTGGAAAACAAAAATAAAAAACAAAACAGTACCATAATAACAATGCAATACAATTCAATAATACAATACAGGCAGTCCTCGACTTACGACCACAATGGCGCCCGAAATTTCTGTTGCTAAAAGGAGAGCAATTTGTCAAGTGAATTTTTTGCCCCGATTTTCGACCCTTCTCGCCACTTTTGTTAAGTGTATCACTGCCGTTGTTAATTTCCTAACACCGTCGTTAAGTGAATCTGCCCCCCCCGTTGACTTTGAAGGTCGCAAGAGGGGATCACGTCACAGCGGGACACGGCAATCCCGTCATAAATACGAGTCAGTTGCCACGCACCCGAAGTTTGATCACGTGACCACGGGGACGCTGTAATGGTCGTTAAGCGTGAAAAGCCGTCCTAAGTCACTTTTCCAGTGCCGTGGTAACTTTGAACAGTCACTAAACGAAGTGTTGTAAGTCAAGGACTAGCTGTACGATACAAACGCTGCTTAAGGGCTTTTTTTCCAGATCAGGAAAAACAAAAAAAATCAAGTTTTTGTTCATCTGGGCAAAAACGAGCATTTCCCAGTGGGAGGGGGAAAAAAAGTCAAAAATGCAGCCGAATTGTCACTTTTATTCTGCGGCTCGAAGAGGACTCTTCTAACAGACTTAACAGAGTGGGAAGGGACCTTGGAGGTCATCTAGTCCATCGGTCACCAACTGGGGTCCGTGAGAAAACTTTGGTGGTCCGCAGAAAAATTATTTGTTGCATTTTTTATATTGCACTAAGTGTTTGTTTATGTTTTATTAAATTTTATTTTATTAAATTTAATATTTAATTTAATAAAATTAAATTAAATATTACATATTTATGTAATATGTTTTATTAAATCAGGAGTCCTCAAACTACGGCCCCTGGGACGGATACGTGCAATGGACGTTTGTGTTGCTACGGAGAGTCTCCCCCTTCGGGGTCTTTTTGGGTGGGTTGGAGGGGGGCAGAAATTCCGACTTGGGGTCTGCTTCGGCCTCCTGGTGGGGGGCTTTGGGCGAAGGCTGGAGGGAAGAGCCGCTGGTGGCGAAGAGCCGGAGGGCCTCGTTCCAGTGGGACTGCATCATGGCCTGGAACTGGCTGACCATCTCAGGCCGCTGAGCCTCCGGGGGCCGGTACCCGGCCTTGCATTCCCGCAGGTCTTCGCTCTGCTTGGAAAGCCCATGCTCCTAGTCCTCAGTGAGGTGCTTCTGCTGAGCCTCCTTCTCGGCCAGATCCAATTTGAACTGAGCTCTTTTGCCAACTCTTTCTCCTGGTGGCCGCTTAGCTCCAGCAACTGCTTCCTGTTGGGGTCCTAAGGAGCCCGGGCGGGCAGGCGAAGAGGGGCTGGGAAGGGGAGGGGCGAGTAGAGACCGGTGAGATGCCCCTAGATGTGAGTGACATCGAGTTGGCCACGCCCACCCAATCACATGACCACCTAGCCACGCCCACCCAGCCGGTCATTAGGCAGATCGTATTAGTGGTCCGCGGGATTTAAAATTTATTTATTTATTTTATTTTTATTTTTATTAAATTCGTATACTGCCCTTCTCCTGCTGGACTCAGGGTGGTGCACAGCCAAAAATAAAAAAACAACAACATTCCAATACAAAATTTAATTTTTTTTTAACAAATTACACAACTTTAGCCCGAAATTTAAAACATCCCAACTAAAACCCATAGACAAATTAAAAATCTAACGTCTCAAAAGGGGATGAATTATGAATTATTGGTGGTCCCTGAAGTCCGAAAGGTTGGTGATTCCTGATCTAATCCAACCCCCCTCACTCAAGGAGGAGACCCTACACACCATTTCTGACCGATGGCAGTCCAGTCTCTCCTTGAAAGCTTCCGGGGATGAAGCTCCCACAACTTCTGAATGGCAGAATAATAACGGAATAAACAGAGCCTGGAAGGGACCTTTGGAGGTCATCTAGTCCAACCCGCCCTCCAGCCCAAGCAGGAGACCCCCACACATTTCCAGCAGATTCCCCCCAGTTCCCATCTCCCTGCCCCACCACGCTGATTCACACCCCGATGCGTCTCTCACCTCTATGGATCAGGATGCCGGCCAGGTTATTCAAGATAACGTGGGTATCCGTGTGCTCAGTTTGCTGGGCCAGTTCCGCGGCTCTGCTCACCTGGGCGTAGGCTTCATCGTAAAGCCCCTGAGCGTCCAGCGCCGTGGCCAAATCGTTCATCACCACCACGGTCTGAGCCGGGGAGGAAATCGAAACAAACAAACAAACAAACAAATAATCTGGATCAGAAGGACAAGAATGAAGTCGAGGGACTCCGAAGCCAGAAAGGCTGCCCTGCTCTAGGAGCGCTTGGTGCTCTCTGAGCTTGGTGGCTTTCTTGCAGACGTCTCATGACCCAGCTGAGTGATATTATCAGTGTGGGTGTGGGTTTAATGGAGAGGAGGAAGGAGAGAGGGAGGAGGAGGAGGAGGAAGATGACCGGGGTGCTTGGTGCTCTCTGAGCTTGGTGGCTTTCTTGCAGACGTCTCATGACCCAGCTAAGTGATATTATCAGTGGTAGAAGGGTGTGGGTTTAGTAGAAAGGAGGAGGAGGAGAACTGTGGGGTCCTTGGTGCTCTCTGAGTTCGGTGGTTTTCTTGCAGACCTTTCGTGACCCAACTAGATAACATCATCAGTGCTAGACGGGAAGAAGAAGAGGAGGAGGAAGAGGAGAAGGAGGAGGAAGAGGAAGAAGGAGGAAGAGGAAGAAGAAGGAGGAAGGAGGAAGAGGAGGAGGAAGAGGAGAAGGAGGAGGAGGAAGAGGAGGAAGAGGAGAAGGAAGAGGAAGAGGAAGGAGGAAGAGGAGGAAGGAGGAAGAGGAGGAAGAGGAGAAGGAAGACGAGGAAGACGTCATCCATCCTCTCAGTTTTAATAGAATTTGGTTTTAATTGGGTTGTTTTTAATATCTTGGGCCGAAATTATTTAATTGTTTTTTAAATTGTTTTTAAATTTTATATGCAATGTTTTATCTTGGCTGTACACCGCCCTGAGTCCCGCAGGAGAAGGGCGGTATAGAAATAAAATAATAATAATAATAATAAGACGAGGAGGAGGAAGAGGAGGAGAAGGAAGAGGAAGAGGAAGAGGAGGAGGAGAGGAGGAGGAAGAGGAGAAGGAAGAGGAGGAGGAGGAGGAGAAGGAAGAGGAAGGAGGAGGAGGAGGACAGACTGTGTGCTCTCTGAGCTTGGTAGTTTTCTTGCAGACATTTCATGACCCAACTAGGTAACATCATCAGTGTTAGAAGGGAAGGGGGGTTTGTGGAGAGGAGGAAGAGGAGGAGGAGGACTGTGGGGTCCTTGGTGCTCTCTGAGCTTGGTGGTTTTCTTTCAGACGTCTCACGACCCAACTAGGGAACGTCACCAGCGCAAGAAAGAGGAGGAGGAGGAAGAAGGCAACGATGGGGTCCTTTGTGCTCTTGATTTTCTTTCAGACGTCTCAGGATCCAACTAGCTAACATCATCTGTGCTGGGAAGGAGGGGGATTTCCTCTGTTTTACTCCAATCAAGGCTCTACCAACTCACGCAAACAAATAAACATTAAACCACAGCCTAATCCAGGACCTACCAAGACTGCTCCCACTGACAGGGCAAGCCGCTTGTACTTAAAATGACAGCAAAGCCCTGCTTCCTTCTAGCATTGATGCCGTTACCTAGTTTGGTAATAAAACGTCTACAAGGAAAGCACCAAGCTCAGAGAGTTCCCAAGGACCCCACAAGCAGAAAAATACCATTTTTTTTATTTTTTTTTTGGCAGCCCAACCGACAATCCCATCTTCACGACTGCACCCCGGGAAGCGGGTTGGATAGCCCCAAATGCCCAGCCCGAACCTGTGCCAAAAGGGAGCACTAGAACTCACAGCCACCTGGTTTTCAGGGGGGGCACCTGCAACCCGATACCCAACTACCTTCTCTTTGCAAAAGGGGAGAAGAAAATTCCTCCGCCTCTCCCCAAAACCTAAAATCTGAATTGCAAGCGGTCACTTCTGGTTTTAAGAATTACAGAATGGGTTTCCTCTCTCTCTCTCTATATATATATATATGCCACTTTTTTCTTTCTGTCTTTCTTTCTTCCTTTCTTTCTTTCTTTTTCTTTCTTTCTTTTTCTTTTCTTTCTTTCTTTCTTTCTTTCTTTTTCTTTCTTCCTCCCACCTATCCATCTTCCTCACTCTTCTTTCTATCCTTTTCTTCCTTCCTTCCCTTTCCTTTCTTTTTCTTTCTTTCTCCTTCCTTCCTCCCATCTATCCATCTTCCTCACTCTTCTTTCTATCCTTTTCTTCCTTCCTTCTTTCTCTTTCCTTTCTTTCTTCCTTTCTTTTTCCTTCCTTCCACCTATCCATCTTCCTCACTCCTTTCTATTCTTTTCTTCCTTCCTTCCTTCCTTCTTTTCCTTTCATTCTTTCTCCTTCCTTCCTCCCCCCTAACCATCTTCCTCATTCCTTTCTATCCTTTTCTTCCTTCCTTCCTTCTTTCTTTCCTTTCTTTCTTTTTCTTTCTTTCTCCTTCCTTCCTCGCACCTATCCATCTTCCTCTCTCTTCTTTCTATCCTTTTCTCTTTCCTTTCTTTCTTTTTCTTTCTTTCTCCTTCCTTCCTCGCACCTATCCATCTTCCCCACTCTTCTTTCTATCCTTTTCTTCTTTCATTCCTTCCTTCTTTCTCTTTTTCTTTCATTCTTTCTCCTTCCTTCCTCCCACCTATCCATCTTCCTCACTCCCTTTCTATCCTTTTCTTTCTTTTTTCGTTCTTTCTCTTTTCATTCTCTCTCTCTCTCTTTCATTCTTTCTCCTTCCTCCCACCTAACCATCTTCCTCACTCTTCTACCCTTTTCTTTCTTTCTTTTTCTTTCGTCCTTCCTTCCTTCCCTCACTCCCTCCCTTTCTTTCTTTTAGTTTCTTTCTTTCTTTCTCTTCCTTCCTTCTTTTCTTTTCCCTTTCCCTTTCTATTTCACACTCCCTTTGCCCCAGCTCCCTTTCTCTCCCTTAATTTCCTATTCTTTGACATAATAAAATAAAACCTTAGGAAACATTTAAAAAAAAAAAAGAATTACGGAATGGGAAGGGACCTCAGAGGTCATCTAGTCCAACCCCCTGCTCCGGCAGAAAACCCCATCAAGCCTATAAACCCTGTCAATCCGATGAGTTTCTGCCCTTCTGCCCTTCACCCTTGGAAGCCCCCCGGTGCTCACCTGGGGGTGCCTCTCCCCGTTGACCTCCAGCGCGATCTTCAGGGCGCGCTCGTACATCGTCTGGGCCAGCGCTGTCTGATGGTGCGCCAGGAGATAGCGGGCGTAGGAGTCCAAACTCATGGCCAGTAAAAGGTGAGTGTTGACTCGTTCTTCCTCTGGGACAAGAAGGGAAGAGAGCGTGAACCCAGCCAGGCTCCGGTCTGCATTACAGGCAGTCCTCCACTTACGACCGTTCATTTAGTGACCGTTAAAAGAGTTACCACAGCCCTGAAAAACGGGACTTGGGACCGTTTTTCACACTGACTGTCGTGATTGAGAACCGTGCTTCTTACTTACGTCCGTTGCGGCATCCCCACGGTTAAAATTCAGACGCTTGGCAACTGACTCGTATTTATGACGATCGGCAGTGTTCCCGGGGTCACGTGATCCGCTTTTGTGACCTTCTGACAAGCAAAAGGGGAAGCTGGATTCTCTTAACAACTATGTGACTAACTTAACAACGGCAGTGATTCGCTTAACAACGGTGGCCATGAAGGTCATAAAATGGGGTGGAATTCACTTAACAACTGTCTCGCTTAGCAGCAGAAATTTTGGCCTCCGTTGTGGTCGTAAGTCGAGGACTACCTGTAATACCATGAAGTATAATTCCCAGAAGGTTCCTCCCCCCCCTCAACCAAATATCAGGTAGTCCTCGAATTACGACCACAATGGAGACTGCTCACCACAGTCACAATACTTGTAAAATGCATTAGTCCCCAGCCTGATTTTAAAACCATTTTTGCAGCAGCCATTAAGTGAATGCCATGGTCGTTAAGCAGCTTGGGAGCAGTTTGGCTGGAAAACCAGAAGCAAATGCCGTCGGTTTTGAGAAAACCGTCATAAAATGCGGTCCCGTCACCACAGGATACCGCAAAGAGCCGTAAATGCGGGTTCTGAGCGCCTGACGTTTCATCATATGACCACAAGGGGGCGGCAACTGTCAGAATCTGGGTCATAAGAAGCAGCCCGGTAAATCAGTCGTAACTTCGAACGGTGGCTGAGGGATCGGTCGTAAATCAAGGACTCCCTATAATCAAATTCTCTTCAGGATTGTCAGGCTGAAGGCCAAGAGGTCCTCTACCTGGCAAGGCGTCCGTGGGCGTCTCCTTCTGCTTAGCGACCTTCTCCTCCAGGGTCAGGATGCAGAACTGGTAGCCGGCCAGGGCGAGTTTGTCCCTGCGCAGGAAAAAGGAAATAGGGAAACATTTATTTAAAGTTCCTTTGGGGGTTCACATTTTATAGGTAAAGAGATGTTTTTCCCCTCAAGTCAGTCAGTCTCTCTCTCTCCCTCCCTCCCTCCCTTCCACCTCTCCCTATCAATCTCTCTATATCTATCTATCATCCATCCATCCATCCATCTATCCATCCATCCATCCATTATCTACCCACCCATCCATCTATCCATCCATCCATCTATCCATCCATCATCTATCCATCCATCATCTATCCACCCACCCATTTATCCATCCATCCATCATCTATTTACCCACCCATCCATCTATCCATCTATCTATCCATCCATCCATTATCTATCCATCCATCCATCCAGTATCTATCTATCCATCCATCCATCCATCCATCCATCATCTATCCACCCACCCATTTATCCATCCATCTATCATCTATTTACCCACCCATCCATCTATCCATCTATCCATCCATCCATTATCTATCCATCCATCCATCCAGTATCTATCTATCCATCCATCCATTATCTATCTATCATCTATCTATCCATCCATCTATCCATCCATCTATCCATCCATCCATCCATTATCTACCCACCCATCCATCTATCCATCCATCCATCTATCCATCCATCATCTATCCATCCATCATTTATCCACCCACCCATTTATCCATCCAGCCATCATCTATTTACCCACCCATCCATCTATCCATCCATCCATCCATCCATCCATCCATCCATCCATCATCTATCCACCCACCCATTTATCCATCCATCCATCATCTATTTACCCACCCATCCATCTATCCATCTATCCAGTATCTATCTATCTATCCATCCATCCATCCATCCATCCATCCATCCATCCATCCATCATCTATCCACCCACCCATTTATCCATCCAGCCATCATCTATTTACCCACCCATCCATCTATCCATCCATCCAGTATCTATCTATCCATCCATCCATCCATCCAGTATCTATCTATCCATCCATCCATCCATCCATCCATCCATCATCTATCCACCCACCCATTTATCCATCCATCCATCATCTATTTACCCACCCATCCATCTATCCATCTATCTATCCATCCATCCATTATCTATCCATCCATCCATCCAGTATCTATCTATCCATCCATCCATCCATCCATCATCTATCCATCCATCTATCATCTATTTACCCACCCATCTATCCATCCATCCATCTATCCATCCATCCATTATCTATCCATCCATCCACCCATCTATCCATCCATCATCTATCCATCCATCCATCCATCATCTATCCACCCACACAACTATCCATCCATCTATCATCTATTTACCCACCCATCTATCCATCCATCCATTATCTATCCACCCATCCATCATCTATCTATCTATCTATCTATCTATCTATCTATCTATCTATCTATCTATCTATCTATCTATCTATCTATCATCTGTCTGTCTGTCTGTCTATATCTATCTATCTATCTATCTATCTATCTATCTATCTATCTATCTATCTATCTATCTATCTATCTATCATCTGTCTGTCTGTCTGTCTATATCTATCTATCTATCTATCTATCTATCTATCTATCTATCTATCTATCTATCTATCTATCTATCTATCTATCTATCTATCTATCCATCTATCTGTCTGTCTATCTATCATCTATCCATCCATTTCAGCCAAATGGCTATCCAATCTCTTCTTTGAAACCTCCAGTGATGAAGCATCCACAACTTCTGGTGGCAAGTAGTCCCACTGGTTAATTCTTCTCACTGTCAGGAAATTCCTCCTTAGTTCTAGGTTGCTTCTCTCCTTGATGAGTTTCCACCCATTGGCTTCTTGTCCTGGTGTTTTGGAGATGGGATTAAAACTTACTGGTTTTGAGCCGCATAGATGCTGGCCAGCTTCAGGGACATCTGGAGGATAGCATTGTCATCCTGGAGGATAAGGTGTGGGGGGGGAGGTTGATGTGTTAAGGCATCATCTTCCTAAACTTCATGACACCCCCACCCCCACCCCCCAACCACAAAACAAACCAAGAACCTCAGAAAACCCCATTTTCCACCTGGGGTTTTTTTTTTGGAAAGCCTGGGAAAAAAAGGCTTGCATTCACTAGCTGAATAAATCACTTGGGGAAGCCCCTCCCTTCTCTTTGCCCCCTTAACATTCTCCCCACTCCGGAAGACCCCCAAACTTCAGCCATGAGCCCCCTGGGACCCTGCCGTGCGACTGGACGGTAGTTAAAATGATAATCATTTGATAGGAGCCTGAGTGGCGTAGGAGGCTAATGCCTTCTACTAAGGCAGCATTTAACATCCAGCTGCCTGCAATTACTGCGAGTTCGAATCTCACCAGGCTCAAGGTTGACTCAGCCTTCCATCCTTTCTAAGGTAGGTGAAATGAGGACCCGGATTGTGGGGGAAATAAGCTGACTTTGTATAAATATACAAAAGGATGAAGGCTATTGCTTAAAACATTGTAAGCCCCCCTGAGTCTCCGGAGAAGGGCGCATATAAAAATAAAAAAAATAAATAAATAAAAAAAGATAGAAGGAAAGGAGGGGAAGCAGCCCACAATCAAGATGGGGCAGGTAGAAATTAACCCGGGTTCCTAATTGTGGGGTCCTGAGTGCTCTCTGAGCTTTTTTTTGGGGGGGGGCAGAGGAGTTTCTTATTAGACGTTTCATGACCCAGCTAGGTAATAACATCACGGTTGAAAGGGAGAGGGGGGGGTTGTGGAAAAGAGGAAGACGAGGAGGAGGATTGTGGGGTCCTTCGTGCTCTCTTGGATGGGTGGTTTTCTTGCAGACCCAGCTAAGTAACACCATCAGGGATGGAAGGGAAGGGGGTTTGCAGAATGATGATGGAGGAGGAGGAGGAGGAGGAGGAGGAGGAGGAGGAGGAGGAGGAGGAGGAGGAGGAGGAGGAGGAGGAGGAGGAGGAGGAAGATTATTGTGGGGCCCTTGGTGCTCTGAGCTTGGTTGTTTTCGTGCAGAAATTTCGTTACCCAACTAGGGAACATCATCAGTAGCAGAAGGGAGTGGAAGAGAGTTTGTAGAGTAAAGAAGGAAAAAGAGTGGAGGAAGGAGGAGGAGGAAGAGGAGGAGGAGGAAGAG